TTATTAAAATATTTTACAGATGATTTAAATTTTTAAAAATATTTTCTGATAAAAGTAATTTTGTAAGGCCCGAAAAATATAATCAGCACATATAACAAGTCATACAAAATGCCACCACCCAAAAACGTTTTGGCAAAATTACTTCTTTTCTAAACATATTTTGTTCATATAGGTTAGAACATACAATATATACAGTTTTATATTGTTTTTGTCATATATAACATCATTATAATACAATATCACGTAAATTCTCATGTTATTAAAACTTCATATTTAAATGGCTAAGTGGAACGCCATCTTAAATCAGGGATTGCAAGCGCAAATGCCTTCAGGGGCCAGATAGGTAACTAAAATATGTGAAATGGTTGGATACAACACATGGAGGGGGTGGATATAACACATGGGGAAGGGGTTCTATCTCACTAAAAGGCATTAAAATTTAGTTTTATTTTTAAACATATGCTGGCAAGATCAAGTGCAGAAAATAAGTTAGCCACATAAGAATATGTGTAGTATAATATCATTTATGTTATTTTAAAACAGGTAAAACAATTTTATGTTACACTTAGAGATATACTAGGGATACACATGTAATGAAAGTAGTTTTAAAAAATAAATCAGGGGATGCAAGACACCCAAATCGGGACAGTGATTACATCAGGTGGGAGGAAGTGATGTGAGCACAGGTTAGCAAAGTGTAGACAGAAGGTATTTTAAGAGTGGGGCAATATTTTAAGTTGGGTGCTAAGTATACAGGTATTAGTTGCACTTTATTTCAACTGTTTTGTACATATTACTGTATAATGCTTCAAAACAACAAAACAACAACAACAACAACAACAACAACAACAACAACAACCATGAACTGAAGAAAACCGTACTTTAGATTTGGCCACCAGCTGCCAGTAGTATAGCATAGTCACCAAGTATGTGGAGTCTGAGGCCAGGATGCCTGATCAAATCTTAATCCTTACTCCACCACTAAATAGTTTTGTGCACTTGGGCAGTTACTAAAATTCTCTGCAAGAGCAAATCCAGCCATTTGCCAATGTTTGTACAGCTCTCTGTAAAAGAATGGTTTGTACATTTTTAAGTGGTTGAAGACCTGCCGTCCACCACTGTTATTGAACTATAAATGGCTTTGGAAATTAGCTTTTGCTGCAGGCTTGATATGATTTCTCAATGAATTAAAACTAAAACTATAGGCAAAATAGTGCTTAAATACCAAACATACTATGGTTAAGTCATTTCAACAACCAATGTTGTTTAAATCACAAGCAATCTCAAGCTGCTTTGTATACTTACCGCACTGTTAATAACCTAAGAAGCAAGAGCTCCTTACCTACACAAATTTACAGTAGATGAATTTTCTGAATTCAAACTACAGTTCCAATAGCATCTTTTGGACTTGGATGTAGGTGCAAACAAAATTTCCATGTTTCAAAAATCCTTTTTTTTCAGTGTGAAAACAATATACATTTATTTATTATTTCAGTTTCTGTGGTCAGGGATCTGAAAGTGGTTTAGTTGAGTGGCTCTGGCTTAAGGTCTCATGTGGTCACAGTCAGGATTTCAACTGGGGCTACAGCTACCTGAAGGTCCAAGTGGGGCTGGAGGATCCTCTTCCAAGGTGACTTACTCATGTCTCTGGCAAGTTGTATTGGCTGCTGACGGGAGGCCTGTTTCTTGCCACATAAACCTCTTCCTTAGGGCTGCTTGAGTGTCTCCATACGATGGCTGCCTGGGCTCCGGTGGAGGAATGGCGGCTCAGGAAGCACCGGAGACACACAGGAAGAGACTGAGTTTCGTGGTCTCAGGGTGAGGGCATGAGAAACAGTTGCCATTGTCTCTGTGCCGAGCCCTCCTCCTTGTCCCCACTAGCAGCCAGCAGGCTGGCGCCATCCCTCCCTCCCCACCTTCAAAAATCCATTTAAACTGTGCAATTGCTTCCACCTACACTTCATTTAGAAGCAATTAATCTACAATGTAATGACATGCTAAAGGCAAATATTGAGAATTTAATGGTATTGTATAAGTGCTTTCCAATGAATATGCTCATGGACTGATAGCAGTTATTTGACAGTACCTATGAAAAGAAATTTCAGACATTTTCAAAGATAAAATGCATAAAGTCGATTAAAAATCAGCATTAACAAATGAGCATTTATTGTTGATTTTGATAGGGAACACTAACTTTGAACTTCAGTTAAGGAAAATGTTATTCCCCCAAATGAATTATATTTCCTCTAAGACAGTATTACCAAAAAAATTGTATCGATTATTATAGTTTGAAATTCATCAACACAAATTTTGTGGACTTTTTTTTCTCTCTTGTTATGTAAATACCTACATACTAACCTCGATTTTATCTCTTGGATTACGAAGTCTAAAATATTTATTGCCTGGCTCTTCACAGAAAAAGTTTGCCAAAGCTGGTCATAAAATGACTGTGAGGATTAAATAAAATAATCCTTGTGAAAGAGGTTAGTAGCAACCTGTATGTAGTAACCACTCATTTTTTTCTTTATCCATCATCTATTTTGTGTATATAGTTTCTATATTTTTATTATACATAAGAAAAATTTTAAATGCATTATTTATGTGCAAAAATATTTATCCACATCTTGGATGAGGACTATCTTTAGGTTATGTTTTTAGCGGCAGATCGATTTCAAATTGAAGTAAACCTTTAAAGAGAACTTATTTTGTTTTACCATATTACTCTTATCTGTCCAGGCAACTGGATAATTTTAGACCAAAGAGACTACAATTCCTGCCCTTGCCTTCCTGGAATACTCCATTTTTGGATTTAGATTCCAGAGAGATAGCCTATCTGTGAAGTTCATTCATTCACTTAACAGGCATTCATTAAACATCCACTTTTGGGCACTTACTAGGTACAAATATAAACTGAGACATGTCATCGGCCCTCAGGGAGCTTCAATGTGCTAGGAGAGATAACACACAGATTACACTGCTATCCTTGGAACTAGGTGTGAAGTCTCACCCCAATTACACGAACATATTATGAAAAAGGAGCTCCAAGGAAAGGAAAACTGAAGTATTGTTATAGATGAAAGGTAGATAGAATATCAGCTATTATCATACTTTTCCAGCTCTGAGTCAATACAGTTCATTTTTTTCTTAACCTGGTTAAAATGGATGTCTCCTTTGCAATGTAAAGAACTTTGACCAATCTAGATAGCAGAAAATGAGGAGAAGCAACTTAGTTAAAAATACTAGGATATGTACAGACACGGTAGCAAAAAAGAGCAGCAACCACTGAGGGAATCATGAGTAAGGAAGAAGGCTGGTTGGTCATCTTTTGTAAAGTCTTTAAAGTCTGTTTATGGAGTGTGCCATTTTTTAGAGTTGCATTGCTTCAGTTACTCTCAGGTCTTTGGGAAGCTGAAGGCCATTATTTTTCTCCTCTGATTTAGAAGCAGTGTATTTTGAAGTCGGACTGCCTTCAGATATTCCAGTGAAATAAGTGAAGTAAACCATTACTTTTTAAAAACATTATTAGCATACTTAATAATTGCACCTACCTGTATTCATCAGGGGATGTCCCTAATGCTTTCATTAGTAATAATGCATGCCTTGATCCTCAGTGGCTAGGGCATCTGCAGCTGTATGCTTGCCTCCCTTCTCCCGCCCACTCGGCAAAGACATTGATGGGGACCAGTCACCCAGTTCAATAAAGATGGGGTTGAACCTTGTCAAGCCACGAGTGAGGAAAGCAACCAATTTGCTTAACTAATAATATTTTGAAAACTTACTAAATTCAGCCATGCTATATAAAAATCCATTTCTAACAACTAAAGTGGTGAGGGAGCAAATGGAGCTTTTTAAGTAGGCAGCATTTCTAATTATTTTTATAAAACTAAGTTCCTCAGGAAGATAGGTAGTATGCAGACTTTGGACAAATTATGGACAAATAAATTTGTGAAACACTGGTTAAAATGAAGTTAAAATTCAAAAATTTTCCCCCCTAAAGGAATTATCAGAACTTTTAACGTTATTACAAATTGATTCCCTAAGAAGGTGATAAAATACGCATCGCTTTCAAATTTATTGACATCTTGTCTTTTATCAAAGGAGCATCTTGTATTTCTAGTGGAGGTTCTGTGGAATATACTATGGGAAACATTGGAGTGAGTAGTAATTAAGTGATCAGAAACATGCTTTAGGCTCCTTAGTCTGGAGGCTATGTGTACATTTATGATGTAGAGAGAGGCAAACAAAACAGGCTAAATGCCCAGGTAAATACAGTCCAGGTGATGAAAGTGATTATAGAAACATAAGATAAAGACACCTTGAAGATAAAATGGGCAGGACTTTGAAATTGAATGGATATAGGCAATGAGCACAGGTAACAGATTGTATGGCATCATAGGTATTCAAACTTACACATTCGGTTGGCTAGGAAATGAATACTTTTGACAGAAACTAGAAAGAAAAAGCTTCACCTGAGTGGGATCTGAATAGATCGCCAAAGAGATGAAAGACAACTAATTTTGCTTGCCAAGCAGTTGAGCCTTTGATCATTAAAAGTCTACTTATTCCTCCTGTCTGCAAGACTTTCCACCCTCCCTTCTTTTTTCCTCCCAAGTTAGCACTCTTAGAGTTACGCTTGCCACCAAATGTGGCTACTGAGGGAAACTCTCCTGTTGGCGTTTTTTTCCATACTCCAAATGGGCATTCTTTTTAAGAGTTTTAGTGCTGATGCGTAGAGGAAGTAAATATTCTAATAGGACTCCACTTGAACACATGCTGGGCAGTTGCTTAGTATGATATAATAAATAAGGGACAATAAAAACAAATAAGAATTTACAATGGCTTTTTAAAAACTTATAGAAGTATTTATTTTTTGGAATAATTTTTGTATTATGCTTAGAAAATTCATCTTTTAGAATGACATGCTATATTTAGCCACTGACGTTAGGTAAAAATTCATTTTGTACATTAACATACAGATATTTTAATAACATGGACTGCTTTTGAGAATACTTAAGTTATCTCTACTTCAGGTAATTTGACTGAAAGAGGTTTCTGTTTGCTCTTGCTTCCACAATATAGTCTTTGTGACTCTAGGAACACATTGTAACTTGGACCCTAGTGCAGATGTTAAGAACAAGAATTTAGATATTCATTACCTCGGATTTAAAATGATGGAGCATTTATGTAAATGAGGTTCTCCTCTTGTCAAAACAGTAATTTTCTTTTTCACACCATTTTCTTTTTTTTCTGGCACATATACACTATTATTCAATCAAAGCCCTGATGACTCCATGCCAGGAAAGAAACAAAGTTACTCCCAATGGGTCCTCCCCTCCTCTTGTGCACTTTTATGCCAGACTTTTGTTGCTTCATTGACGAATCTCAGCCTCCTTTCCCTGAAGTTAAGGAATTTACTTTAAAGGCATATTTAATACTGTATCCTCTCCTAGGGTTATATAATCCAACCAATTTGCCTGGGACAGCCCTTTGTATGTCTGTCGCCCCAGTTTGATGACAACCTCTTCCACTCACAGGTGTCCTGGCTTGCACGGTAAATATGGTTATTCTATATATTATACTTCATTTTTCTCTTCTCATCCCCCAGTTTTCCATTTCCTCTTTGAATCATTTATTTTTTAATGGAGAGAATCATAGGATAAATGGGAAAAAATCGAAGAAGTCAGCGAATCCTATTTCATACTTGACTGGATTTAGTCTCTATTTGAACTTTGGGGTGTTAATTCATTACTTTGTGAGGTGGTATTTTCCACTATTAGGCATCTCTTAAGTTTTATGAAAATCCTTACGTTCAGCCTTAATTTTATTCTTTCCCTGTCTAAAACTCTTAGCATATAGGTTTGGGATTCCTTTCTCAACCATGGGTTATTGCATTGCCCAGCCTAAAGGCATCCATCGTATATTATTATGAATTAACATTTTTTTAGATATCTAAAATAGTATTAGTTATATATTATCCTTGGGAGAATTGAGAAAATAGTAAATCCTATTTGGGTTGCATGGTTCAAATGAGGAACCTGGGCTTGAAGGGCTGCATAGTTCTATCATTTACTAGCAGCATAACTTTGGAAAGTTTACTTTTTGTGCCTTAGTTTCTCAGCAGAAAAAAAAAAAAAGTAAAGAAAGTATAATACCTCTCTTATGGGATGTTGTGAGAATTAAATAACATATATAAAGCTCCATAAAAGCAGAGACCCTATCTATCTTGTTCACAACTTTATTCTAAGTGCTTAGCACAAGTAGTAGCAGACACAGAATAAATTCTCAATATCTGAATAAACACCAAATTAAAAGCCCTTAGCACATTGCCTTGCACATAGCACTCAATAAAAGAGAGCTATTATTCTTTCAAACACTTTTCCTATGACCCATTTTAATTATTCTTATGGAAGTTCCCTGGTTTATCAACATTCTTAAGATGTAGTTCCAACAATTCAGTTCTGTATGGTGTGTGGTAATTTTGCTGTCTGAACATAATTTAAGATGAGTCCACTGGGAAAAAGCTAGTCTACTTGCTTACATAAAGAACTGGCACTTCCAACCCCACTAACTTTTTTCCAATACCATGCTTTAAATCTTGGGAAACGTATTGTTAGAAAAAAAAAATTAGCCAATAAGGAGTGATCAGTCAGGTTAGAGAACCAAGATACTGCAGTATTATGGAAAGCCATTACTACCGGTGCTTATTATCACTGCACCTAATGAACAGTTCAGTGTGGTGATTACCTATTAATTAGCCTCTCCATCTGGAATATACACCATGATCTCCATGGCAGGACTGTGCAAAGTTCATCCACAGTGCTTACCACAGAGATCTTCATATATTGTTGAATGGTGAGTAAGTAGAGACAAACCAGAAAGTCCAAAGAAGATGCTAAAGTAAATAGATGTACAGCTTCCGAAAAGACTGTAAGATCACTGTTTCCAATTTTTGTTAATTTACGGACAACAGATTCTGATTAAGGAAGCTGGGATTGAATGTAAATCATAAAATGACAGAAGTATAAAAATTTGGAGCCTTTGGCAAAAAAAGAAATGTAAATTTAATAATTTGAAAGAGTAGCAAGGTTTAGGTTTTTGCTTTTGTTTTCAGTATGGCTGAGACTGAAGTTTTTAGATATTACCGAAGAAAAGGTGAAGGAGGGAGATGAAAGAGGGTAAATGTTAAGGATAAGGTAATAGGATTACTGGGCCCCAAGGGAAAGATAAACCAAGATAATAATTTGAAGCATTTCACAAACACAAGTAAAGGTAAAGGGAATAATCTAAGACAGGCAGTTAATGAAGCTCAATTACAAGTCTCAAAGTAGGAGAATCTGCCAGGGAAGGGAAGTAAGTCTTATGGAAAGAAGAGAAATTTCGGATCCCTTGTTTGAATGAAGTTCATAAAGTGTGAATAAAGGGATTGTTGACCTCTGGGAAGGGTGGTCCCATCAGCTCAGTTTTGCAACTAAGAAAAAAAAATCTCTTCTACTTCCTTCCTGATCTAATCATTCTGGCCGCTTAAAACCATCTGAGTTGAGCAACAGTAAACTGTTTCTTTGTGCTAGGCCATATTAACAAGCCTCCTCTGTATTTTTATATTAAAATGAAAACACATCTCTCTAAAAATTAAAGATTGCGGTTGCACCATGAAAGGATTTTAGAGAGGCCTTGTTCACAAGCTAATCAAGGGGCGGAGGGAGGTATTCGTTTTAAGACGAAAGACCGCCTGCTGCGATAACACCTCCAAATGCAATCAGACGCTGTTGCAGCACGCTTCTTAGGAGATCGAGTTTAACCCCAGGGGTCGGGTAAGGTGAGAATCTTGACTGACGGCTTCTGTCCCGCCCATCAAGGTCCCTTCCCTTTATAAAGCGCGTTGGGCCCCAGGCCCCACCAGTCGCCCGACGGTTTTCCGTACGAATGCTGGGCCGCACAGCCTGCCGAAGAGTATATCCTGGATGAATCGCCTCGGGTCTGGTAACGAGAAAGCTGTCTCCGGAGACCATCACCAATGCTAAGGCCGACGGGCTGAGGTCGCCACGGGCAGAGCGGTAGGCCACTCTGTTTCCTTGATCGCCAGCGGACATGGACACATAGTTTAGGACCATCTTCAAACCCTGCCTTTTGTGTTTGTTACGTCTCTCGGTCAAGGCAGGCCCTCCGCTGCTCCACAGATCAAGCCAGACCGTCTCGGACACGGAGATCGAACACACCTCAACCCATAACTAAAGCGGCGGCAGGCCGCCTTTAACAAACGGCTCTCTTCGCGAGCATGCGCAGTCCGTCAGCGCACGTCGACGCCGGCTGAGAGCGAGCGTGATTGACGTTTACGTCGGTGACGCCTAGGAGCGCGCAGACGTGTGTTTTCCGAGAGTGCGCAGTGGGTGCGTCGGCGACGACCCTACGGCCTTTTGAGGGAGGGTCGACGCTGAGATGGGGGCGGCGGCAGCCGAAGCGGATCGGACTCTCTTTGTCGGCAACCTTGAAACTAAAGTGACGGAGGAACTCCTTTTCGAGCTTTTCCACCAGGTAACTGGCTGAGATTAGCCTTTTCCTTTCATTTTCCGCTCGCGAAGGTCCCGGCCCAACGGCCATCCCTTTTTTTTCGCACAAGCTTGGGCGGGGATTAGCTTTTTCCTTTCTTTTTCCGCTCGCGAAGGTCCCGGCCCAACGGCCATCCCCGATTTTTTCGCACAAGCTTGGCTGTTGGTCTGGGCACCCGACAGGTGAGCCGGTTGGGGCTGGAGGTCACGCTTAGAAGGGTGTTTGCTCGGTGTCATTTTATTATCAAAGAACCCTAGTTCACGCGAAAGTGAGGATTAAAGGTGTTGGAGGGATCCTCAATGAAGCATTTCCGAGGTAACGATTCAGGAGCCCTAAAGGGACATAATACATGTGGGTTCTTCTTTGAGCAGTGTTTTTAAAATTTAAAAAAATTAATTACAGTTGAAATACAATATTATGCTAGTTTCAAGTGTGCAATATAGTGATGAGACATTTATATAAAGTAGCGTTTTTCCTATTTCTCCTTTTCTCATCTTCCCCTTAGGACACTTTGTCTTTGATTTATATGACTAACAAATTACGTTGCAGTTTCTTTGTCATTATTTGTTTTCCACTTAAATTTCTTATAAAATTGCAGCATTGAAATACTTAAAATAGACTCAAATACTCCGTAGAAAAGCAGCACTGTGGCAGGCGTTTCTACGTTAAAATTCGTTAATAATTCAAAGTATTTCAAAAATTCCCTCTAGTTCCATGCTCCAGCTAGTGCTGTTTGATTAATCGAAACAAAAGTGAATTTTTGTTGAAGAAGACCACTTTGTCTTGCCCTTGAAAAACGTTAATTTCCGTGAAGTGGGAAAAAGACGGATATTGGTCAACTCGTTAGTCATAAAGTGCTGAGAAATGTAATTTACTGTTTCTAGTTCCTTATGGGCTCCCTTTCCCCAAATTAATCTGATCTTCAGTTATATCTGTAGGATCTTTATTCTGAGATGGAAATCTGTAATTCTTAAGAGTTCCTGATTATGTTTCTGTTCTTAAACTTTGTAAAGCTTGAGTATTTTCCTGAAATTGCCTTATTTAAATTGTAAACTTTTTTGTCTATAGGCTGGGCCAGTAATAAAAGTGAAAATTCCAAAAGATAAGGATGGTAAACCAAAGCAGTTTGCATTTGTGAATTTCAAACATGAAGTATCTGTTCCTTATGCAATGAATCTACTTAATGGAATCAAACTTTTTGGAAGGCCTATCAAAATTCAGTTTAGATCAGGTAACTTCAAGGATATTTGGGGAGAGGGATTATTTGCTGCTTAATTTTTTTATTTTTAGTTTTATTCAGTTTAAATTTTTTTTTTTTTTTGGATGAAAATACTGGAAGCTTTTTGAATAGTAAATAGTATCCCTGAAAATGGGTAACATTGACAACGTGGATTTTGACAGTCATAATTTTAAAACTGATTTGAAAATTTCAGTTTGGGTTAATGAAAAGAACAAACTTCATTGTTAGAAAGACTTGGGGTTGGGTCCATTCTGTGAAAGGAGCAAGCAAGCATTATTTTCTGAAAATACTTTTCTTGGCTGCTTTGTAATTTACTTTTACAAATTTTCATTCTTGATCATGGGAGGGTAAAACTTTTCATGTATCCAGCCGTAAATGTTGTGTGAGGATCAGAATATTGTGGCCAGAGTGGATATTTACACATTGGATGTTACCTTTGGGACCATTTGTTTCCGATATATCTGCTATTAAACTCTTAGAATTTTTGAAACTGTAAAGCAGTCTACTAAAATTTGAGGTTTTCTCTTTTAGCCTTTTTGTAATGATTTGTGGTGAGGGATATAATTTCAAATTAAATTTTCTATCAAGAAGAATTTCACAAATTATTTCATTTTAGGAAGTAGCCATGCCTCACAGGATGTTAGTTTGTCATATCCCCAGCATCATGTTGGAAATTCAAGCCCTACCTCTACATCTCCTAGCAGGTAATGTTCCTTACCTATTGTTAAAATTATTTATCAGGATTTTTTTAGGTAGTGATTTTAGAATATATAACGAGTGATTGTTTTTCTTCTTTATGCTCCTTTATTATTTGCTGTGTTGGATTATAGTTATATATGTATCTATTTTAAGGAGACTATAGATATACACATTACATACAGTTCCCTTAAAATAGATACATATATAAACTATATTCATTTGTAAAGACAAACCCACACCCACATATACATGCATATAACTGAAACAAAATTTCTCACAACTACCCTTTTACTTGGAAGCCTCAATTTTCCATTTTATTTTATCTTTTAAAAATTCAAGTTAGTTTTATGACCACTAATTTGTTGTTACTTGAAGTTTAAAAATACCTATTAGTAAACAGAATATTGGACTGAGTTCTGTAGAATTGGATTCCAGGTCTGCCTCTACCAATTGTGTAATCTCAAACTAGTCTGATTTCTCTGGTCCTATCCTTCCATTTGTAAAGAAAAGAAGTTGAATCGAATGATCTTTAAAATCCCTTCCAGCTCTTGAAAATTAGAAAAGTTACTATGTTTATATTAAGTAATTTAATTTACTTTGGGGCGGGGGGTGGGGGGGAGGCTGACAATTTACCAGGAACAGTTTTTTCCTAGTGTATCTATAGGGATATTTTATCAATCATAATGGGCTTCATTCAGGAGTTAACAGATATCTGTCATGTGTCAGGTTTTTACCAAGTTTTTTTGCATTTATGATCTCATTTACTCCTCACAGTAGTCTTATGAGGTAGGGATTATTATGATCTCTTCCTTGTGTATGACGAAAATGAGGATTGGAGGTTAACTTGCTCAGATCAGAACTGCTCATAAGCAGTGGGCTGGGATGCAAACCCAGGCAGGGAGATCAAGCCTAGTCACTGTGATATACAGCCTTGAAGTCTAAATGAGGACACACATGTTTTTTCTGATTACCTATTTAATTACTACAGTAAATTCTCTAAAGGAGTAGAAAGTGCTTGGAGAAAGTTTTAACAAGGAGAGATGATATAAATGAGTGAGGAACTGAGAGAGGACAGTATACCTAGATCATAATGAGTGAAAAATAGAGAGTAGTGGATGATACTGGTGAAGTAGATAGAGACTGAATGATAAGTCCTTCTTATAGGCTATAATTTGAATTTTGAGATTTTACCACAAGAACTATAGTAAGATATTGAAATGTTTTCAGTACAGTAGTAATAGGATTAGGTTTATATTTGAAAGAGTTGTTTGGTTGCAATGGGAGAATGGATTGGAGGGACAAGGATGAAAATAAAAAACCAATTAGGAAGCTATTGATAGCAAGGTATTGGTATTATTAGTAGCAAGATAGCAGAGAAGTTACTGGGGTGAGGTTGATGGTTTGGTTTAGGGTGGTGTCAAGAGCTAGAGAGAAGTGGATGGATATGAAACAGTATTGGAAGGTGAAATTATAAGAAAGCAAGAGTATAAAAAATATACCCTCTTACCGTTCTTTCTTGCCAGCTGAAATTGTGTTTAAATACTACTCATTATAGATGGAATTTGAAGCATCTCCAGCCACTTTTATAGAACCTTTAAAGGTATCTTAGATGGACAAAAAAATAGCTTTTACCTCCCACCCCCACCTCCATTAGAATTTCTTGGGGGAAAATATGCAACTAAGTACTTTAATGCAAAGCTAGAGTATACATTATTTTTATACTCTTGTTAAAAGTAAAATTACACTTTTTACCCTCTTAGCATACAGATAATGCAACTGATTTAAGAAAACTCAAAAAGATCTAAACTATAAGACATCAATTTTAATTTGATTCCAAAAGCATAAAATTAATTTATAACATTTTCTAAATTGAGTTTTTCTGTAGAGCAAGTTGCCTGTTTAGGAAGTGAAGAATAAGGAATAATTCCTTAAAATTAATACTCTATTTATGTTACAGAACTCCTCAAAACCTTTTCCTCTCTCTTGTCTTAGTATATGTCTACCTAGTTGCTCAAGCTAAAAATGTAGATTCTATTTTTTATTTCTTTTGTTTTCCTAACTGTCCTATCTATTGATAAAATCCTTTCATTTTAGTTCTCAGTCTAGGCCTTTCCACTAGCCCAGTGATTGACAATTTTTTTCCTATAAAGGACTGGATAGTTAATATTTTAGACTTTGCAGGCCATACAGTTTTTCTCTGCCATTGTGGTACTACATAAATAATATAAAAACAAAACATCATAGCTGTGTTCCAGTAAAACTTTGTTTACAAAAACGATCTGGCCCTCAGACTATAGTTTGCTTACCCCTACGTTAGTCCTTCCTTCAGCTGAAATGTTTTTTTCTTCCTAGTAACCTTTATATTCAACTCTGACTTCAAATGTCTCTTTAGAAAGGCCATCCCTGACCAACCAAGCTAAAATAGAACCCCCTATCTCTCTTACCTCTACTTGCTATTTAGTCATTCAGTATATCACTTATAACCATGTGAAGTCTCATTGTCTGAATCCTTACTGCAGCTCCATGAGAGCAGATGATAATCTTGTCTTGTTCCTACCTTTGAGAGCTGTGTCTTGCTCATGATTGGTATGTAAATAGTTTTGAATAAATGATTATATATTGGTTTTCTTATTTTTTTGCAGGTATGAAAGGACTGTGGATAATGTGACTTCATCAGCACAGATAATTCAGAGATCTTTTTCTTCTCCAGAAAATTTTCAGAGACAAGCAGTGGTAGGCTGATTTTTCAACTTGAGTTACTAAAAACAAAAAACATAGTTAAAATGTTCAGATGATTCTTAAATTAACTTCTGAAATTTTAGTTAGACTAGTATGATCTTTGCAGACTGATCACTAAGTTTTCACTGGCCCAAAATATATATTTAAAGAACAAAGATAGAAGAACTGCATTTAACATTTGTATTTTTCTTCAGCCATTGTTGGTGTGTATGTGTTTCAAATTTGTTTTCCTTCCAGTTGCCAAGTCCTTTTTTTTTTTCTCTTTCATTCCTTTCTTTTCTTCATCCAAATCACAGTCTTGGCTTCTGGTCCCTAGGCTTTTGAATTTGACAGGTCTACAAAATAAAAATATAAAAGGAAAATATAGTAAAATTGAGAGACCAATACAAAGGGATGCTAACTTTATACATATTACTTATTTTTGTCTCATTTTGCTGTAGGCCAAGTCAGAATTCTCTAGCTTCCTTATTAAGGCATTTTATTGTCTGATTCCAATAAATCTTATTAGCCTTACTGTCCATTCACTACTTATGAGATCTATAACCTGTTTCAGCCAGAATTTACTTGCTATTCTATGAACCCATTATATGTTTTCCTTTTATTTTTGTTTGTGCAATTTCCTTGGCATACTACTCCCTTAAAATATTTTCCTTAAAGTATCGCATTCATGCTTTTAATATTCTGGTCATACGCTACCTTATGATACTGAGCTCATGGCTCTTTATGTGTTTATCACATAGTGATTCACAATGTAGTCATTTTGTATGACTTCCATCTTAGTTGTATTCTTTAGGGCAAAGTAGTCTGTACAGATATCTTATAGGTGTACATTGGAATGAATGATGCTGTCATACTGCTTTTAGTATGTTTAACTTAAGATCCATCCAGGCAAGTGATTTTGCTTTTTCATTGTTACGTGTTTGGTTATAGTGATCAGATATCTATTGGCTTTGATAGCTAGAAATATCAATGCAGTTAACATTTCCTTTTTCTCTTCCCTCAGATGAACAATGTTTTGAGGCAGATGTCATATGGTGGGAAGTATGGTTCTCCTCATCTCGACCAATCAGGATATTCCCCATCGGTTCAGTCACATAATCATACTTTTAACCAGTCTTCAAGCTCCCAGTGGCGCCAAGATACACCATCACAGCGCAAAGTCAGACAGAATTCTTATCCCTACGTAGCAGATAGACATTATAGCCGTGAACAGCGTTACACTGATCACGGGTCGGACCATCATTATAGAGGAAGCAGAGAAGATTTCTATGAAGATAGGAATCATGATGGCTGGAGCCATGACTATGATAACAGAAGAGACAGTAGTAGAGCTGGAAAATGGCACTCAGCTCGACACTAAAAAGTGTTCAAAGGACATCGTTTTTATGGGGTCATTCCAGGCCGTTTTGGCTAAGTTGGTCTGGGAATGTTGTGTTAAAACTGTGGAGCAACTTTACAAGTTGACACATTTCTTTATAAAATTTTTAAAACCTATAGCTACAGTCTAATACAGAAATGAGAATTGTGGTTCTAGTTTTTACATGAATAACCTTTCACCTCAGGGTTTTATGGAGAGGAAAGGGTTTTATACATAAAGTGCTATAATTCTTAATTGTTTTAGGCAGTTAAGGAAGGGATGTATTATATGGATTGGTTGTATTATAAAACAAATATTTTCGTTATCTGTTATCTTTTTGTATTGCAAGAACCTGCTTGTTAGTAAATCAGATTTTGGTGTATATAAGAAAATATTCAGGTTGATAGTCTGAAGTGACTATCAGTATTTTGTTAATAAATTAGAAGATGTAATTTTAGTGATTTAACATTTTATTCGAGAAAGTTTATTGGTAAAGTTTGGGGATGAATCATATTAACTTCTTAGGGAACTTAAGTGTAAGTTCTGTGACATGCTCTTTCAAATTTTACCCTAATTGGGCAGACAAGTATAAATCTGCACATGCTTTTTCATTCTAAAATTTTAGCATTTTCTCATTAAATCATGTTTGGTGTATGACTGAAGTCACTCAGGAAATTAAGTATCTCTAATACAGTGTTAGTGTAAATCTTTTTTAGGAAGAATAAAAATGTAAATGCAGTCAGATAAAATGGTAAAATGTTTTATTGAAAGTATACTTATTTGGGAAAAGGTTCACAGAACTTTGAAGTGCTGCCTCTATCACTCAGACTTTAAAATTTGACCATTTTCAAAGTGCCCAGGGCGTTTGTAGAAGGACACATTTTATTTTTTGTGTGAACCTTTGAAAGAGTTTAGTCTTAAACACTTTCTGATTTAAAAAATTTTAAATCTTGTTAACAAAACTTTTATGTATTGAGATATTGTCTCCCTTTCCTTGTAGAACTTGTTTATAATTCATTCCTTGAAATATTTGGATCTTTTTAAATATTAACTTACAGCATTTGTATTATGATACTTTTTAATATATTGAAAACAAAAAAGAGGGATGTGTCTAATTTTTTGATGTCACCTTAGAGACACTGTACACAAAAAGTTAGCAACATACTTTTTTATTCAGTAATTGCCTAGCGTTAATGTCAGTTCTTTAGAGCATCTTGAAATATACTGTTTCTACATGTTGAACTAAATATTTTAGAATCAGACTTTCAGTGACACAGATTATATTCCAAGCACTGTAAACTAATTTAATCTCCCTGGTCAATAGCAGTTTATGTACATTCAGGTTTTCTCTGTTTCTAATGAATGCCATTTTTTCATGTGTGTCTAGGTAAATGGATCTGGCCAACTACTCAGCATAGAGAGCATTAAGATCTAAAGTTTGCTTAAGCAGTTTAATAGAAGGATTTGTTTCTAGTGAGCCTGGTATTTTCAGGTGTCTTATGAAAATTATTCAGTAGCAAGTGTAGATAATAACAAAGGTCAGTACTGCTTCATTGCCGTTTATCTGTGGGTCAGATCCTACTGATTCACAGGTGATCCTGGTTCAGAATAATCTTTTTCTTTTTTTAATGGCTTTTGGGGCACCCCTGTGAGGTTCCAATCAATCTTTCACTTTCATCTCACTTATTAACTAAACTAAACGTACTGTGTATAGGAGTAGAGCAAGACAGCCTCAAATAATTGAATATAGTTAGAGAATTCACCTAGATATTAATAGCTACAGGAGTAGAACAGAGGAGATTGTGGGAGGGTAGTTCCCCAGAGTATGTTCATGAAATGGTACGCTCACATGATGTTCTGCAAAGTAAGGGTTCTGTAATTGAATGTTTGGTAAACATGTACTAACCCTGATGTTCTGAGACTGACAACACCATAAAACTGCTGACAAGTACGACAGTAAAGAAATTGTTTATACTTAACCTTGTATTTTCCAATCTTAACTGATTCTTTCACCCTTCTATACATAACGCGTATTAAGACCAACTGCCCTCCTCCCCAAAGAATCTTTGACGACGACTCCATCCAATCAATCATAAACTTTTTATACCACTTTCTAATTATGTTGTTCAGGCCCATGTTCTCTGTATCAATTGCCACCATCTTAGAATGGGTAATTATCTCAACAGGATTATTCCAACAGCACTCTCTGATGTTTAAAAAGTACCAGTTTATTCTTACAGTGCCCTGTATTTCTCTTGTCATAGCCTTTAAACTGTATTTTACTTATTTGTTTTTCTCTAGAGTGCTTTATGAAGGCAGAGACCATATCTGTTCACTACTATTTCACTGTATCCAGTGCCTGGCATATATATAATAGTTGGTAAATTTTTAATGAATGAACAAAGGAAGATTTATCAAATTGAACACATTTCCTAACCCCGAACCATTATTGTATCCTATTATTAAAATGATGTATCACAGTAAATTGTGCCTTTGATACACTTGAGAATTCTATTTTTCAAAAATTTAAGTTTTGGATCTATATTCATGAGGTTTTTATTTTTAAAATATCTTAGTGATTTCAGAATTATGATTCTGCTAGTATAAGCCCCATACTGCATTGTTTTTTTGTTGTGAAAGCAGTATCTTTTAAGGGAATTTAAATTAAATCTTATATATTTTTCCAGTAGTTAACCGTTTCTGCAGCTTTCCCATTATGTAGATCCACTTACCTGGTATTCTGTTTGAGGAACTTTTGATACTTTTTGTTTATTTTGTTCTTTAGATTCCGCATGTACATGAAATGTGATATTTGTCTTTCTCTGACATTTCATTCAGCACAATCCTCCCTAGGTCCACCAAGGCTATATCTTTTTCCATCCCCTTCCTTTTAGTCTGTCTTTGAAGTGAGTCTCTTGTAGGCAGCATATGTAGGGGTCTTGTTTTCTTATTCATTCAGCCACTCTTATCTTTTGGTTGGAGCACTTAATTCTTTTCTATTTGAGGTACTTGTTGATAGGAATGTAGTTATTACCATTCTTTATTCATGTTTTTGATACATGTTTTTTCTTCTTAAGTCCCTCTAACATTTCCTGTAATACTGGCTTGGTGGTGATAAATTCCTTTAGCTTATTTTTGTCTTGGAAGCTCTTATCTGTCCTTTGATTTTAAATTATATCTTTGTTCGATAAAGTATTCTTGGTTGTAGATCCTGGGTTTTCATTATGTTGACTACTTTGTGCCAAGGCCTCTTGATATTTTTTATAGCACAAGTTGGCTGGTATGAATTATTTTAGCTTTTGTATGTCTGAAAGTCTTTTTCACCTTCATTTTTGAACTATAATTTTTGTCGGGTATAAAATTCTAAGTCGAAAGGTTTTTCTCTTAATACTATAAAACTGGCTCCATTACCTCTTGCTCAGAATTTTTCCTCTAAGAAATCTGTCGTGTACATGTGTTACTTTTCTCTGGCTGGTTTTGAGCATTTTATGATGTGCCTTAATGTAGTTTTCTTCATGTTCCTTTTGCTTGGGGTTCATGGAGCTTCATGGGTTTATCTGTGGGTTATCATTTTCATCAGATCTGGAGAATTTTGGCTATTACTCAAAAAAATTTTTGTTGCTACTTTCCTTTTTAGAAACTCTGACTACACTTATGTGTGAGGCTGATTGATGTTGTCCCATAACTTGTTGATGTGCTGTTTATTTTTAAAATTATTTTTTCTCTGTTTCATTTTGGATAGTTTTATTGCAGTCTTCAAGTCCACTAATCTTTTTTTCTGCAGTGTCTAATCAACAATTCCAATATAATCTTTATTTTAGACATTGTAGTTTTTCTCTAGAAGTTTAATTTGGATCTCCGATTATTTCCTTTTTTCAGTTTTATTGTGGTACAGTTGACAAAACTAAGATATTGAAAATATATAACATGATGATTTGATATACGTCATCAGAATTCCCCTCATTGAGTTAAAAAACACATGATTTGGATTTTTTTTATATCTTCACTGTCTTCTCTTAAATATTTGAACATATGGATTAAATTTATAGTACTTTTAATGTTCTTGTCTACTAATTCTTTTTCAGTTCTGGGTTGGCTTCTACTGGTTCACTCTTAGCATTGGATGTATTTTCCTGCTGCTTTGCATGTCTTGGATGCTAGGCATTATGAATTTTATGTTATAGGATGCTTGATAATTTGTATTTTTATAAATATTCTTGAGCTTTGTTCTGGGACAGTTAAGTTACTTGTAAACAGTTGTATCTCTTCAGGACTTGTTTTTAGATATGTTGGGCAGGATTTGAGAAATAACGAGGGTTAATTTCTCCACTACTGAGGTAACACTCTTGTATACTCTAGGAGCCTCATGAATTATGAAGAGTTTCAGTCTGGCTCGTGGGAACAGATACTGTTCCTGGTTCTAGATGAGTGCCGAATAGTATTCCTTTCTGATTTTTGGGAGGCAATTCTTTCCCCAGCCTTGGGTACTTTCTTCAAAGCTTTATGCTGATCACTATTATAATAAACACTGGAGAAAATCTGCAGATCTCTGGGAGTTTCTCCCTGTGCAACTTAATCCTCTTCAATAGTGTATACTGGACTTTCTAGCTGCCTTGGTTTTCTTTCTCAACTCTTTCTCAACCGGACTCTTTCTCAACTCAGCGAGTTTACCCAGGCTCTGCCTCCCCTGCTCCCCTCCCCCTCCAGTCCCCTCCACCCCACCACACGCACAACTGCAGCCTGAAAATCCCTTTGAGGAGACAATCAGGCTCACCTCATTTATCTCTTGTTTTTCAGGGATCACTGTCCTTTGTAACTGATGTCCATTCTCTTGCTTCATATTTTTTTTTTGGTTGTTTCATGTAGGAGGGTAAATCTAATCTTAATACTCCATCTTGACTGTAAGTGGAAGTTAATCCAAGGTTTTGTTCTGTAATGCAGTCATTTCAAATGGTCTATACTTTTAGGTTTGATTTTTCTCTTAAGTTATTTGGATTCTTATTCCTAATGACTTTTTTTTCTTTCTTTGATTGTGACATAAATTTTATGGAGTTGTGGACAGAGAATGTGGTCTATGTCATCACAACTTTGAGAGACAAACTACATCACTAGCTAGATGATCTCAGGATTTTTCCATGTTGCCTGGTTTAATCCAAGCCCAGGCACACCTCTCTAGAGGTTTCTGAGGGAATCGGGAACCACATCCATCTTTGGCTGACCCTCCTCCCCATGAGTTTCATCCTGTCCTATGTGATGTCTGCATGGTGTTTGCTGAGGGTTTCTTTTCCCAACTTTTATAATGATTCCATGGATATTTGAAAAACACTTGTTTTCTCTGTCTTTACAAAATTCTGTCTTTACAAAATTCTCTCAACCAGATTTTAAAATAAAAAAAGTCACAACGCAGAGCCATTTAAAAAATAAAAATATACACATTTTACTTTAATATGAATAAATATACATACATTTGCCAATATTTTGATGCAAGGCCAAGGCCTATTCCTTAAGTCCAGGAACACTGGAGTTCAGTGGGTTTTCTTGTATAAATCAATACCAGAATGCATTGTCTATGATTTCCATTTTGGGTTTCTTTATAATGGAATGCAAATGTAGACAAATTTGCGAAGTATTCAAGTTTCTAGGATTTGTATCCAAAATTTTTTACAGTTGTCTTGCTCACACTTAATCCGATAGTAACTTTTTATAGTGATTTTATCTTTACTCAATCTTTTCAAAGTATTCAACTAGTTTTCTAGAATCGACCACTATTTTTACATTCATATTTTATTGGTTCATATTTTTTAAATTAAAAACATATTAATAACTAGCATAAGCTGGATTGGGACAACTTAACCAGCAAGAGTAAGAGTAGGTGAACATATGAGAGTAGCTTACTAGCCTCCAGCCTTACCTTCAGCAGGTCAAGGATGTTAACGTTTACAGAAAAATAGAGAACATTGGTTAATCCAACAAATCGGTTAGATTAAATGTGCTTTTAATATAGTAAATAAGGCCTGTTAATTACATTTTCAAGTCCTACATATTCTCTTACTTCTAAAAGAGGAGATATTTTAATTTGTCATTTTCTTTGAGTGTGTCTCAGTTTTTGCTTTAAATATCCTGAAGCTATGCTAGATGCAAGTATGTCATTTCCTCACCATGCACTATAACTTTTATCAGTGTAAATGTCCTTGACCCATTTTTATGCAGTTAACTTTGAATTCTATTTTGTTTTATATTGTTGTAGCTGTCAGCCCCTGAAAGATACACGGACCACCAGAAATCAGTGAGTTATAGGAAACACACTCTTTATTCAGCCAGCTGGGTCTACCAGGGGTACGCAGACCCCAAATTAAGCAGCCCTGAAATGTAGAGGTACAGGATTTTTTAAGCCCTAAATCCCATTCCTCATTCTGTCTTAAACACAAAGGTCTATTTTTCTCCTATTCACTACCTGTCAACCCACAGGTCGGGTGTGCAAGCGGGGGTACAGAAGCAGAAAGCTTATCGTTAGAATGTTATGTTCCCATGGGTGATAGCTTATGTTCCCATAGGCGATAGCCAAGCAGTAATTTTCCAGCCAGCACAATATTACTATTGTCACATTTTAATTTTGTTAATATTTGCCTACTATGTCTTTGTCTATTGGTTAATTTTTAATACTTGTATGTCACTTGATTTTCGGAATGCCTCTTATATTCAAATATGTTTTTATATATTCCTGCTATAGTCCTTGTGTGTGTGTGTTTATAAGATCAATCACCTTTTCTTTATTTTCTTCTTTCTAGAGCAGCATTTCATAACCTTGGATGCATGCTAGAATCACCTAGAAACCTTTCAAAAACAATTTAATGCTTCAACTTTATTCCAGAATCTCAGGATCTCAGAGAGTTGGTATTATTTTTTAAAAGATTCTAGTATGAAGTCAGGATGGAAAATCCTAGTATACTATTTCTAGTCCTGTAAGTGCTTCCCCTTAAATTCTCTACAATCACATTTAAATTTATAATTTTTGACCAAGGAATAGATTGAAACAGTTGTAGCCATCAAGATAAAATCAGAGAGGCAGAACTAAGTGATAGAGAATAAGGGACTTGTTATAGGGATTCAGCCTTATTCAATGGTGATTGCTGGTGGAACAATCTGTTGCCTTGCATCTGGCGTTGGGCCTGAAGTCATTATAAGTTAGCCAGGCTGGCAGCTGGGAAGGAAAGCTGAACAAGAACAAGAGCAGGGACAAACTGGAAACTGCTAGAAAAGAAAAATGGAGTCTGCACCTGTCCCTCATTACTCCACCTTAGAGGACTTGGATGACCTGAAACCTGCAGGTATAGCTGGCACCCTTGGCTATAGAACTGTGCATATCTTTGGCCCAGGACTCAGAGCAGTTGGAGGGAATGTAGCAGGAGCTGGAAGAGCTGCATGTTGGGTGCTGCCCCACACCAACAAGGTGAGCCAGGAGATCAGCAACAGTGTGCTTCAAGTACCACAGTGCCTGGCACCCTCCACCAATCTTCCAGAATGTAAAATACATGTATGCTGCTTCCCTTATGCTCTTCCAAATGTCAAGCAAATTTCTCCTGTGGACAACTACATTGCAATTCAGACATTAACTAGCTGGAGTTAGGCCAAACTTCACAGGTTAAGGGATTAGTCCTCTGTGAAGACTGCTCTCACTTCAGACACCAGCTGCAAGCTCAGGGACTCCCAGAACATTTAACTTCTGACCAGTTGGCTACCAATTTTGGGGTTTCCACTACCCCATCAGGTTTGATAATTCACTAGAATAACTCACAGAATCAGGAAACAGCTATACTTATGTTTGCAGTTTTATTATAGCAAAAGGATACAAATCAAAACCAGACAAATGAAGAGACCTGTAGGGCAGGATCTGGGAAGGTCTCATGAGAATCTTCCAAGTCCTGTCCCCATGGAATCAGGATGCACCACCCTCCTGGCACATTAACGTGTATTATCACCAGCCAGGAGGCTTATCCAGGCTTCCAGCATGTCCAGAGTTTTTGTTGTGGTTTCATTACACAAGGATGACTGCTTGAATCTTTGGCCATGTGATTCAACTCAATATCAAGCCCCCTCCCCTCCCCTCCCAGGAGGTTGGACTGATATTACATTGCTTAAACCCTAATCCTCTAGTCACACAGTTGATCTTTTCAGCATGGCAGCCCCCATCCTGAAACTATCTAGGGGCCAACCATGAATACCAAAGATGCTCTTGGGAAAGTCCAAGAATTTAGAGGTTCTCTCCCAGGAACCAGGAACAAAGGCCAGCCAAATTCTTTACAACACCAACTCTAAACGGGAACTAGATAGAGAAGAGAATTCTGGAAACCATAGTTTCATCTTAGCTAAGATGACACAGTACAAAGCCACTACAACAGTATTATATCTGACGCCCCCGCACTCTACCAAGAAAATACCTTTAGCATACTTGACCTTTCCTTGATGCTCTTCTCCCACCGCAAGCATACAGATCACCCCCAATGCTTTATCACAATCACTTGGATCTTAGTTTCAGATTGCCATAATATATTAAAATATTATCCCTTCTCGTTCTAAGGAGGTATCAACACATAACTTTATAACTATCAAGTTTTACTATATTTTATAATAATTTTTGAATTTTACACTAATACAGAAAAGCAAGATTATTTGAGAAATTTAAAGTAATATGTATAATATTTGGTTTTGGTCTTGGTATATTAAAATGTAGATGGAAATAACTTTTTTCCCAACAGCTAATATTTGTCGAGTATTTACTATATGCCAAAGATTGTGTTAAGCCACTTATGACTGTTTCACAGGAGAGAAAGTTGAGACTTACAGAATTTAGGTAACTTCCCCAAGATTACACAGTGGTAGACTTAATTCATATTCAGTCAGTCTGATTCCAGAGATCAAAGTCTCATGCTTATTTTAATTATGTGTGACAGCAGCAAAGGTAGACCAAATTGCTTTTATTACCTGATGTTTAGAATCTTTGTATTTTGTGTTAAAAATAAAAATTTATTTTTATAATTTTAGTATGATAATAGAAATGATGACAGGGGTATAACTGCTTCTGCCACAACTATAGTTGTGTGTAATTTTTATTCCCAATAAATGAAAAACTAAATTGGGTAGAATTTTTATTATATTTATCTTAATAGTAGTTTTTGAAATACAAATATTTATTAATGTACCACTTAAAAATGTGTTTATTAGTATTGCTTTAAAATGTATTACTTAGAATAGATCATAGATTTGCATGGTTCAAAAAAACCCCTGTATAATCACTTGCCTCATAGTGATGTTTCAGTCAATGACAGACCACATATATGATGGTGGTCCAGTAAGATTGTAATGGAGCTGAAAATTTTTCTATCGCCTCATGATGTTGTGGTCCTATTTTATTTTTTTACACCTACAGCACCTGGTCTCCCATCCAAGTACTAACCAGGCCTGACCCTGCTTAGCTTCTGAGACCAGACAAGATCAGGTGTGTTCACTGTAGCATGGCCATGGACATGGCCCTGCTAATTTTGAAGTGTAATGCATTACTCAAATGCTTGTGTTGATGCTGACCTGGTGTAGCCACTGGCTTGGGACATGTGTGCAGCTCTCTGTGCTCCCTTTGGAGACTCCAAGGACTCATCCATTCGCTCTGTCGCATAAGACTCTGCACTTCCTCTGTGTGGTGTGTTAACCTGCGTGGGTACCCGACCGGTTTATCTGAGAAGGTTCCACTCAGTAAAGCTGGCACTGTGGAAAGACACAAATGTGTTCGAGAGTGTTACTTAGCCGCTTTTCTTGCTTGCAACGATTTATTGCTTTTTGCAGGAAGGAAAAGATACGCTAAATTTCAAGAATGAAATAGTACTGAGTTTGTAGAGTTTGCATTTAAAGCAATGCTTAAATTTAGCAGTATCACTTAATAATTTTTGTAAGCTAAAATGAGATGTGCAATAGATGAAACAGAAATTAAATTTAAGTTGTGGCATGAGTTGACTAAAATTCAAAGGTAAATGATAAACTCTGAAGAGAGTCTGATTTCATGAACATACTTCTAGTATGTTTATTCTTAGTTTATTTAGTTAATGGCAATTTAAAAAACATGGAGGGCCCATTCGATTTAAGTTAATCATGCAATTTTCCCAACAATTGTTTTGTTGTAAGATTTATCTTCTTTCAAAATTACATACTGACTGTTGTTATGCTTATTTAAAATTTAACGCGGGTATTTGAAGATGGTACTTAATTTACCATGTGGAAATAAAATTATTGTTATCAGCAATTATATTTGAAAAATTTTGTCAGGACAATTATTTAACTCATTTTATATTTGACCCGAGAATACTTGCCGGCAGCACTCGTGGCTGCAGCCTTTACCCCAAGATAACTCGCAGATTACAATTCTAAACCTTAACCCCAAAGTTTGCTATGAAATATCTCACTTTTATTATTATTTTCGCATTGCTCTAGTATATCGATAGTCTTTGGAAACAAATGACATCGTTCTATTTATAGCATTCTGTTTTTAGTAGTGGTATGTCCATTTACAAAATATAGTAATTCTTGATTGCTGAAATATCAAATCCTAAAAATGTAGCATTCCTACACATGATGTTAACATCGTTCTTGAACAGCTGTTAGCTGAAGATTCATTTGATGAATCCAACTTATGTATACATTTCTGTTACATTAGGATTAGAGGCAAGTTCTGTTTAGAAATAATTCCAAGAACTATTTTTATATTTTCACATTGAAAAACAGATTTGCTTCAGCCTCAAACAGTGTGTTTATGTAAAGTTAAATTAATGCTGGCAGTGAGCTGCACTTTTTTTTCTAAATGGGAAATGGGTTAAAAAACAGTGCTCATTCATTTTAGAATTATAATTCAAGGCTGTCTCAAGCTTTTCCTATTAGCTGCAATGTAGTCTTTACTCTCAACAGACTTGTTTGCTCCTTTACTACTTTTTCTCCATTCTCTCCAAGAGACCAAGAAAGGACCTTTATTACCTGCTTTGTCAACTTGCAATTCTCATATTTATTTCTTAGCTGCAGCAGAATTTTATGCACTAACGACCAAACATAACATCTTTCAGACCTCATCCTGAGTTTGATAGCAATGACTTCACATCTTCATTCAGACTTTTTCTTTTTTTGTTCTTTAATGCTGCATTTTCATGAACCTTTTCCTATTATTTTGACCAACAGTTATCTCTTTCTGAATTCCTTTCTTCACTCACCATTTAAATATAGGCGATGTCCAAAGGAAGTTTTGTAGGAGTTAGGAATTATGTTACATTATAAAAAAACAAAGGCTCAAAAATAGTGTCTTACCAAAGTAGAAATTTTCCTCACTTAAATCAAGTTGTTAGCTACTATGGAAGTTCCCTTAAGTCATCATGCATGGAGAGACCAGGAATGCTTCTATCTTTCTGTGTTTCACTGTCCTCAGCCCCCATTCTATGCTCAAGATTACATCATGTTCCAAGACAGATGCTGGGGCTCTGGCCACCACACCAAAATTTCAGATATCAGGAGGAGTAAAAGAACCCCTCCCAGTTAAATCAATTCCTTTGATGAAATCTTTTGGAAATCCCATAATATCATTCGTCAGAGCTTAGTCACCTGTCCACATCCAGCCATAATGATGGCTAAGTCCCCTGCTAAAACCTGGAAATATATTATTAATGCAGAGAGAAATATATTTGATAGGTAATGATCAGTCTCTGGCCACTATCTGTTTTCTCAAATGCTGCCTACATGATCGAAAATGATCAGTGTTTATAAATGGGGAGTGGAGTGGACCTGTGAAATAATAACAATGATTTATTTATACTATTTATTAAACACCTACCATGTTTCAAGTATCGTGCTGCCTTTATGTATATTATCTCGAACTTTTACAATAATTCTTTGAATGAAGTAGTATTATCACTGCTTTAAAGAGGAGGAAAATGAGTCTCAGAGAGATTAGAGTTGACTTGTTTCAAGAAATATAAAGTAATTGAGGTAGGGTTTGAATTCAGCTAGTTTGTCTCCGAAGCCTACTGTATTTTTCATTATACATGGGCCACACTGAATATTCCTGCCCATATTCTTTTGTCTAATAATTATTGAGATTGCTCTAGCTTGATGTCATAATTTCCAGTGGCGTTTACATTATTCATAATTATAGAATTGTCTAAATTTGGCTGCAATGACAATGACTACTAATTGATTCAAGCTTGTTATCAAGACCCCTAGAGATCACGAGGTCAATTGGTAGCACAAGGAGGTGGTTAAATCTCAACAGGGTGTGAGTGCAAATAAAGTCACACTGACAGAATGTAGGCTTAACTCTCTAGTGCCCTCTACCTAAATAACACAGGACCTCAGCCCTCTGTAAAGCCTCCTGCCTAAGTATTTGTAGGATTTTTGCATTGGGTTGCCCATGTTTAATTTTTGTCTCAAATCTTGAAATTTTACTCTACTTTTTTTATGGCAAAATAAGAGAGGCCAGCTGCAAGAGGCCAGGACTGTTATGCCTGTGGCACTTCCTCCACATGGAAGAAAATACCAGGAGTGAGAAGAAATATTCCTCTTTGCTCTCCAT